ATACTAAGATCCGCTACTAAGCAGCTAATGAAGCATAAAAGAAAAACCACAATTATCCTGAACTAAGAAATGCAAAAAGACAAAAAACAATATACCCTTGGCTATGGAAAGTTTATAAGAGGTTTATTGATTTCGAGAAAAGGTAAACAAACAGTTTGTCCTAAATAAACAACTTCCTGGGGCATATCCCCCCCCCCTTTTACCTGAATCCATGTGATTTACTCTATATATGTATAGATTTTTTCGTATTTTCTTGATTTCTTCTTAGAGTATTATATAGGACAATCTAAAGTAGTATTAGAGTATGATAGATTACCTTAAGAAGCGTATAGTATAGTCTAGTATAGAAGACTAAAGTACAGTAAAGCAGATATAGTTAGAAATATAGGGAAGTGTAGTATAGTATAGTACAGCATTGTATATTTTAGTACAGAATGTTATAAAATATAGTTTGGTATATTGTAATACAGTATTGTATAGAATTTTACAATACTGAATGATGTATGGCAGTATACAATAGTGTTGTGTAATACAGTGTATTATCATTTGATATGATATAACAAAGTTAGAGTAGATTATAGAATAAGATAGTATAGTTTATTATACAGTTGTATCACATATCATAATATACTAAAGGGTAGTGTAATCTACTATAATATATATCATAGTGAAATATAGTATAGTGTGGTATATTGCACATATATCATATTTTTTTCAAATAATTTCATCTCGCTCTGACAAATCTGTGCGTGTGCAATATCTGAACAGAGCCGACCACAAACTAATAACCAAAGCTTTGATTCGGTTATTCTGCAACATTGTGCGATCAAAGGCTCCCTGCAATAATCACGCAGGTCTTGATAATTACTCTTAACATCGGTTTTGTGTGTTTGAAACAGCGAAATAATTCAAACATCAGACATTACTCTCCTATATCATTAGTATTAGTAGTAATATTATATTGAAATTGGTAGATATACAGATAGATAAACGGAGAGATAGGTCTATTTTGTTATTCCATTTCATCTAATTTGAATCAGGGCATGACTACTACGTAAAATAGATAGATAGACAGATAGACAGACGGATAGATAGATATGAATGTGAAGCTATATCATTTTCCTTATCCAATTACATCTATTTCAATCTAGGATAAGACTAATATGTAAAAATGAAATTATTCTTACTTACTTCATAAACTTCATTCCCCTCGTATATCTTTACATAACTTCAATCTAAACAGAAACTAAGTATAATATTTCTATTACAAATCATCTTGAAGAAAAAAGAAACTCCTGTTCCTCCCTTGGCAATTGGTCTGCTCAATGAGGGAATACATTTCAAGGACTACAAGCTTAATGCAAGCTTTAAAGATATACTGCATAGTGCAGAGCGTGCATGTGACAGGAACAACCATCCCGTAAATAAATCTACTTAGCTTGGCAATGGGATACACGGCAGTGAAAGCTCGGGCAGGCGGAAGCTAAAAGGAAGATTGAAGACCCGACTAAACTAATAGAGCTTGCTGCCTTTGTTATCTATTAATGTTCTTCTTATGAATATGTGAGGAAGGAAATAGATTTCCTAAGAGAGAGAGAGGGAGGGAGGGAGAGGGTGGGGGAGGCGGAAGGGGAGAGGGAGAGGGAGGAGGAGGGGAAGGGGGAGGGGGAGAGGGAGGGAGAGGGGGACGGGGAGATGGAGGGAGAGAGGGAGGGGGAGAGGGAAGAGGAGAGGGAAGGGGAGGGGGAGAGGGAGGAGCAGAGGGAGGGAGAGGGAGGGAGAGGGTGAGGGGGAGAGGGAGGGGTAGAGGGAAGGAGAGGGGGAGGGGGAGAGGGAGGAGCAGAGGGAGGAGGAGAGGGAGAGGGAAGGGAGGAGGGGGGAGAGGGATAGGGGAAGGGGAGGGGGACGGGGAGAGGGAGGGAGAGAGGGAAGTGGAGGGGGAGAGGGAGGAGGAGAGGGAGGGGAGAGGGACGGGGATAGGGGGAGGGGAGGAGGAGGGAGGGGGAGAGGGAGGTGGGAGAGGGACAGGGGGAGGGGAGGAGGAGGGAGGGGGAGAGGGAGGGAGGGGGGTGGGAGGGGAGAGGAACAGGAATAGAAAGAGGAAGAGGAAGAAGAAGAGAAAGAGAGAGATAGAGAGATAGAGAGAGAGCCCATAGAGATACACAGAGAGAATAACAGTACTAAAATGAAAGAATGAATCCGTAATCTATTTCTTCTCGGAAACCAACAAAAAAAAAACGAAGCGAAAAGACAAAACATACTCCCTTGCTAACATAAGCCATAACATACTTTAAAAAAAGGCCTCGTTATGCAACCTTTGAAACGAAGCCACAAGTCGATGCCAGATGTGTGCCTTTTTTTTTTTTTTAAAGAATCTTAAGAAAGAACTCGAAAGAGAAGGCACCACAGGGACGCCCGTTTAATGGCCGAGCAGCAGTTTAATCAATGTTGCAGAGGAAGATTCAGCGAGTGTCTCTGACAGATCATTCCTGCCTGGGATTTTATTCCCTGCACACACGAAAAAACAAGTGCAAACAGACACGCAGGCATTTGAATATTTGGTTTAGATAGGAAAATCGATGGTTTGTGTGTGTGTGTGTGAGCATATTTAAACACACACACACACACACACACACATACACACACACACACACACACACACACACACACACACAACACACACTCACACACACACACACACACACACACACACACACACACACACACACATACACACACACACACACACACACACATACACACAAACACACATACACACACACATACACAAACACACACACACACACACTCACACACACACATACACACACCCATACACAGACACACACACACACACACACACACACACACACACACACACACACACACACACATACACACACACTTATACACACACACACACATACACACACACATACACACACACACACACCACACACACACACACACACTCACACACACACACACACACACACACACACACACACACACACACACACACACACACACACGGCTTTTATATATATATATATATATATATATATATATATATATATGTATATATATATATATATATATATATATATATATATATATATATATATATATATATATATATATATATACATATATATATATATATA